CAACGGAGGCGGCAGCGGCGGGTGAGAAGGCCGAGAGTCACAACAGCGCAACGCAGCGGCAGAAGAGGCGAGAGGATGGTGGCGACGCGTCTCAGGCGGGCGCGCGGAAAGGAAAGGGCGCCCGTCTTGCTAAGAAGCACAACAACGCCGCCGCTGGTGCTGGCGATAGGGATGGTGAGGGTGTGGCGGCTGTCATTGCGGCCGCGCGGGATGCGGCGCGGGAGAAGCTGCTGACGAAGTTTCGTTCCGCTGCACGCGCTAATGACAAGCTGACGATCATGAGCGCCACGCGTCTGCTGACGCTGCTCGGCTACCGCGACGAGGGCTGCGGGCTCTACTGCTCGTGGATGTGCGAGCACACCATCGCCGCGCTGAACAAGATGGTCGATCGCGAGCTGCGCAAGATGGATGACCCGAACGAGGCGGGCATGAGTCATCTCGCACTTGTCTCCACCGCCCTCGACGTCGTCGTGGCGGCATTCGAGAACGAGGAGGAGTTCACGCGCGAGACCTTTGGCGACGCGGGTCTGCTCAAGCTTCTGACGGAGCTGCATAGCAAATCCACTAGCCAGTGCGTCCCGGTGCTGAAGGACTTCCTCAAGAAGCGGGAGGAGGTGTTGCGCTCCGTGATAACCCCCGCTTCTCCTCTGACTGGTNGTCCCGGTGCTGAAGGACTTCCTCAAGAAGCGGGAGGAGGTGTTGCGCTCCGTGATAACCCCCGCTTCTCCTCTGACTGGTGTGAGTGGAGGGGCGAATGGCAGCGGGAGCCCCACGCTGGCCACGTCTGCCGCCACCACACTCGACCCGCGACGCACGGACCAGATATTGGAGGAGATGTCGCACCTCGTGTCGTGCTGCCACCTCTACTGGGCCTTTGCGCAGTCCAAGCAGCAGGAGTTCTTGCAAGGCATGGAGGAAGGGGGCAAGCAGCAGAAGCAGCAACAGCAACATGACGCAATTGCCTCCGTGGATTCCCTGTGGTCGTCCCGCGACAACCCACTTATGAACACTGTGCAGGAAATTCTCGCAGTCTATGTTCCACTCCAAAAGAGTTACTTCGACGCCGCCTTCGAGCAGGCCCTGCGGCTCCAGATGGATGCGCTGCGGGGGGGCGGGCGGGAGGCCTCCTTAGCCGCAGCGGAGATGGGGAGTGAACGCGGTGGGCGGAATGCCAACAGCGGCAGCAGCAACAGCCGCCACACTGTCCCTGTGGCCAACCCGTCTGCGAAGACGGCGGCGACGTT